ATATCTAATCATCTTATTATTCTATAAGAGTATAACACTATAACATAGATTAATTAAACGAAACTAAAACAACACATAGATGATAGATAATTCGTTCATTTGTTACGATTACAAAAAATATAAAGAATAATAAAATAAAGTATCTTATAAAACTTAAAGAGTTTTTAAGCTCAAAAATCATGAGTCGGAAGATCTAAAAATACTTTTGACGTTTGTCAAATATAAATAACTCAAAAATCGTTTAAAAGCTGATCTGATGTACATTATCCTAATTTATATGTCATATTTTTCTTTTAGTTTGTTCCAAGATAATGTAATTTTTTATATTTAGAAATAATTTTACTTTAAAATTTATTTTACCTTTAATAAGATAATGAGTCTAAGATAATGCATAATCACACAAATATTTAAAACTTGTTTTAGACTATAAAATTCAAAAGTCTTTTTTCCCTCTTAAATTCTGCATCTAACCAAATAGTACCACATAAATCAGGACAGAACAAGTAACAAAATCGAGTTCATTACTTAAATGGTCACTCAACTATCCCAAATTATCTACTAAAGTTACTTTTCTTTCGTTTGTAATAACAAAGACACTTAACTATGTCTATAGCACTCAGAAGGTCACTCAACTAGATTTTTCAAATTTTGGATTGCTAAATACCTATTTTGCCCTCTAAATTATAAACATTTATCTTCTTTTTATTTTTATTTTTAACTTTTTAATATTATACTTTTTTCTTTTTAATTTATATTATGGACTTACCTGTAGAATAAATATATTTTATTTATAAAATAAAAAATAAAAAAGGTTTTTGTAATGTCAGAATAATAATATAATTGAGCATAATTTTCAAGAATATATAATATATATTATAAAAATACTTTTATTTAAATAATTATTTTTATATTACGTGCATGGAATATATATTTTACAACCTTTATTTTATTTCATTCTCATATTTGTAAATAAACTTTTGAATTTTTTTTTATTAATATTAAAATTATTATTTTGAACACATTATTCTAATTAATTTTTTTTACTATGCTCAATATTTTATTATTCTAGCATTATATATGCTTAAATACTTTTTATTTTTTAATTAATAAATAAAATTTATTTATTCTATAGGCAAGTCCATAATATAAATTAAAAAGGAAAAAAATCATAATATTAAAAAGTTAAAATAAAAATAAAAAATAAGACAAATGTTTATAATTTAGAGGGTAAAATAGGTATATGGCAATCCAAAGTTTGGAAAATCTACTTGAGTGACCTTCTGAATGTTATAGGCATAGTTAAATGACTTTGTTGTTACAAACGATAGAAAAATGACTTTAATAGATAATTTGGGATAGCTAAGCGACCGTTTGAGTAATGGACTCTAACAAAATCTAAGTTTGGAAATCACTTGACATGATAAATGAACCTTAAGCTTGAATCCAACCTACATTATGGCTATGGTTGTCACTGAAGTTGCTTCAACAATTTGAGGTTTGGCACTGTTGATGATAGGTCCTAGTTTTGTCCGCACTTTTTTTTTAAGGAAACGGGGGAGATGATTACTAAGTAGGAAATTAAATCTTTACTTGATAAAATGAAAATTCAAGTAGCTAATCAACTCAATTAAATATACATGAAATGTCTTATACGGAGATTAGTTTTATGAGAATAAAACACAGATAAGATTAAAATAGCTTTGATTTCATCTTTTTATTTTTATTTACTTTAAAAAATAAATACAATTATAAACTTGGGTATTATGTACTGTGTATTTAATTTCAAATGCAATTACTATGCATCTACAACAACAGCAATTTACTTAGTGTAGTTCCACAAGTGGGGTTTGGAGATGATAGAGTGTATGTAGACCTTACCCCTACCTTGTGCAGATAGAGAGACTGTTTCCGACTCTCGGCTCAAGATAAGTGTAATCACAGCAGTTTGGAAAAGGATATAAAGTAGCGAAGAAGCCATGAAAAAAGAAGCAGTAACAACAACAAAATGATAAGAAAACTAAAGAAGAAAAATATTAGGTACTAATATAAATCTAAGTATAAAGAAACATGAGAATAATACCAATACTACTGGCACGACCCGAAATTTTCACCTTCGGGATCGTGATGGCGCCTAATATTTCACTTGTTAGGCAAGTCAACGTTAGAAAATCTTAACTCTTTTTTTTTAAACAAATCAATTTAAGCGAAAGTCAATTACTGAAATAAAGTGTAGAAGACCACAATAATCGAATCATCAAAATACATCTCCGAATCTGGTGTCACAAGTGCACAAGCTACTAGGATAATACAAATAATGGTCTGAATAAAATTCAAGATGTTTGAAAGATAATACACAGCTAAGATAAGATAGAAGGGGACTTCAGAACTGCGAACGCTGTACAGTTATACCTCAAGTCTCCTCTGAGTAGCTGAATCCGAGCAACTCTATGGTACGTCGTTGGGACCAACTCCAAAATCTACATAAAAAGTGCAGAGTGTAGTATGAGTACAACCGACCTCATGTACTCCGTAAGTGTCGAGCCCAACCACAACGAAGCAGTGACGAGGCTATGACAGGACACATACGTAAACAATCTGTACAAGTATATACAAATACGAAGCAACAATAAATACAATAAATAATACTTTATAAATTTGGGAGGGAACATGCGA